AACATGTAACAGTGCTATTCATGACATATTGACAATCATCCCATTTTCCTCAGCCGGGTGAGCTGAACACCTTACTCCTCCTCGACCTCTTCGTCCCACTGCGACTTCTCTCTCTTCATCAGATCAGCCATGACAGGAGCTTTGAAGATGGAGGATTCGGGATCCGAGCCACGCGGCACCTTGCCAAGGCTCTCGTCGTCGAATACAGATCCAATGGTATCGATCCAGCGCTTCCGGCGCTCCATCAGGGTCTTCGTCATGTCGCCGATGCCCGGTCTTGCCATGCCAGCCGCACCGCCAACCGCGTGGCTGCCGCCTCCAGCACCGCCAGGTCTCTTGTTCTTCTTGCTCTTGCCCATTGTACGGGTTCGCTTGAGATAGGCAGCCTGCACTTGTGTGTCGAGATCCTCCAGAATGGTCTGGTATTCTTGATGCGCCATGCGCTCCTTGACGAGCTCTGTGAGTCGAGACTTGCGAGCGCCGTTGATGAGCATTTGCTCCCGAAGGCGGCCTTGCAGCAATCGCAGCCGTGCTGCCACCTCGTCGTCGAATGCGCCATCGTACTCTGTCTCGAAGTTACCTTCCTGGGGAAGAAAGCCAATGTGCTTCAATTCCTGCTTGATCCGTTCGTCGACCTGGGTATACTCCAGCTTTGGATGCGAAGCCTTCTTCCATGCCTCGGAGTTCGACTCGGGCATGAAAGATGCAGGCGGCACAGTCGGCGGGGCCTTATCATCGACGAAGCTCTGCTGTGTATCTCCATTTTCTCCGTTGACGCTGCCGCCATTCATGACAGTATCTCCATTCGTGACGCCGTTGGGTGCTTTCTCTTCGTCCGCCTGGGGTCGGTTCTCGGGTCGCATCGCTTGCATCAACCGCGACAACAAGGGGCCGACAGAGAGTTTATCGGTCTCGGCAACCTCATCGTCCATGTTGTCAATTGTGCCGCGAGCCTGGTTGGGCGCCAAGTGTTCGCGCGCACCTTGAGGTTTATCGAGTGCCATGGCACCATCCTCCTCTTGCCAGATCTCAGTGTAGTGCTTCTTGCCTCTCTTAGGCATGTGGAAAGGCGTAACGCGATCACCGCGCTCTCGAAGAAAGCCAAGGTCTTCTTCAGCAAAAGGTCGGAAGTAGGGTTCCATGTACGTCGAGAAGGTCGAAAAGCTGATCTGGTTCGTGGGCTTGGCACTACTAAAGTCCTTGTCGGGAGGATCGCCAGCAATGAGATCCGCCAGATCAGTCTTAGGAAAGACGGCGACAGAGAATATCTCCTTCAATTCATCCTCTGGCATACCTGGGTGTGTCGAGCGAATTTCGTAGACGGTCGGGTCGGGGAAGGTGGAAGGATCGTCGCCAAAGGTGTGCGCAGCGGGTTGGGCCTTTTTGGGTGGCGCGCCCTCGTCTTCCGAACTCTCCTCCTCCTCCTCTTCCTCCTCTTCGGCCTCTTCTTTTTTCTTCTTCTTCTCGTCGACTTCCATTGCTGATGGTGTTGCAGGCGCGACGGGTGACAGGGAAGAACTGGCCGAGTCGCGCGAAAGCTTTCGTGGTTTAGTGGATTCCCTAAGCGGGGATGATCGCTCTGTGGTAGCAGGCGAGGTCAGTACTCGAATTTAAATACGAGGAATCCAGGTTAGTCGCGCGGTGACGAGGTGAGCTTTCGGTGAGCAACCTACGCCCCACGAACAAACCAAGAAAAAGCGTGAAAGAGCACTAGACCGCACAGGGCCAAAGAAGGGTAGTGACCTACCGACTCCCCCTTCCTGGGGTGGTGCCAGGGTATCGGCCGCCTTTCTCTTCTTCTTGTTGGTCTTGCCCGTCTTCTTGCCGTCCCCCTCGGCCTTCGCGGCGGGTTCAGCAGACTCGTCGACGTCGACGTATTGCTTGCGCGTGCTGGCTAATATGCGCATACCCCTATCGCAGAAATTGCTGCGTCGGTCGATGGTTTCCTGCAGGCGCTGCAAGCGGGCAATCATGCCATCAAGACTCTTGGAGTCAGGCATGACGGCATTGGAGGCGCCTTGGTCTACGAGGTCATCGTAGTTGAGATTACGGAACTGCTCGACACGTAGCTCGAGATATTCGGTGTCGACAGCTTCGATAGGGGGCAAGCTGGCGGAGGGCACGACGGAGCTCGGGGTCGTGTTGCGGCTGCGCTGTCGCATAGCACCGGGCCCGGCTTTCTTGCCGGTGCCCTTTTGGCTCGCAGCAGGCGGCATCGCGGGCAGCCTGTGATGGGCGCTCGCAGGTTTGGGATGGCTTTTGATGATGTCGGATCTTGCGCGTCGTCCTTGTCGAGGGTTGAGATGGATCTGATATGTCAAAGTGAAGGTTGGGCCTTTGATGTCAAGTGTCAACTGAATGGCGCTCGAGATCGCGCCGCCCTGTATCGGTAAGGTACGCCTAACCTGCTTACTGGATTGGTCACCGGTCGCGGAAGTATGGGTCGAATCGCCCGAGCTCGCCTGTTGCACGCACCCTGGGGTTAGCCGCGGAAGTCTGGGGGAAGGTACATGTGGAAAGTGCTCCGTCAGCGCCAAAATGGGAAGTGCCTCTGTGAACCGGGTACCTTACCTAAGGAAAGCACCAGGACCAGGTAAGCTTTAGTGACTTGACTCCATCAACTGCCATCTCACGAAACCGGCATCTTGCATCCCATCAAAAGGATCAAGATCTAGATACCCTCTTCCTTAGGTTAATAAAGTATTGGTCTACGGCCATGACGTGACTCCTCGTCTTGCCATCTATGTGAGGTAGGTTGAATTCTCTCTTAACAGTATTATCTTAGTCACCGTTACTCCCGGAGCTTGTAGTGAAATGCTATACTCTCTCATAACACCAGAACACATAAACAAATGATCACAGGTAGGCAACAATGCTGATATCATACTATGCCGTCATCGACCACCAAAATCAAAGGAAGTGGCTAGAGCGGTGATTTGATTACGATGGAACGTGAGATAAGCTTGAGAAAAGCGTGAATACGAGGGCAAACACGGCCAGGTTTACAGGAAAGAAGGCTCCTGCACACGGACATGGTTCCCTATCTAAGAAGTTTGACGATCTCGATGGGTAGGATGATCAACCAAATGGGAGAACTATGTTTGCCTTGCTTACTTGCATATGGTCCATTTATCAATCAGGACTACCTAATCTACCTTGAGGCAAGTTTATCAATGAAGGTAGTCTGTTCGAAGAGACGGCGTCTCTCAGATCTTACTTTCTCTAATAATGCAGCCCGTGGACAAACCTGGTGAAGGACTCCAATTTTGCCGAGAAGTTCATCCTCGTTCGTCCTTCAAACGTCTTCTCATGGAAGTAAAACTGGATCTAAATTCGTTCTCGTTCTATGTCTCGGGCCATGGTTATGACGCTCCATGGTCTTGCAAGCAGACTACCCCGAAAAGCACCACTTCTAGGTGTGATAGACCCCGTTCACCAAAGTACGATAAGTACATCTAGGTATGCGTACGTCATAAAGTCTCCTAAGCCAGTAAGTCTAGATTCGGATCCTTTGATAACCGAATTAACACCACCGTGACCTTCTGTACGTGTTCTAATGCTGCTAGATGAGATCCTATTGTTCCCAAGAAGCGAAAGTGCATTGAGTATACTGTGCGATACAGACCTATATGGCGATTTAGACAGTGCATCTCACCAGGCCTGGGAAAAGCAAAAGAGCAGCCCCAACTTCACAGTTCTCTCTCACTTCCAAGGGCAAAAGTTGTACATTGGTAATTGCTGATGCTTATTCAATCTATCTGCCAAGAAAAATCATCAAAGCTTCTCATTACACTTTTGGCTTATTTGGTCACGAATGTCAACATCGGAAGTACTGCCACGGGCGGTATTATTTCGGCCAGAGACCTCCCCATGGGCCGACAATGACCCGGGTTACGAGCGACGGAGCAGACGGAATTGAGGCCCATGGCAGGGTTGCTACACATCAGTATGAGGAACATCAAGCGCTTCTCGCGAGTGCAAAAACAAGCCAACAATGGCCGGCGTGGCTACGCGTTCGTAGATGGCTTAAGGAAAACCGGCTATCACGTCTGGTTGAGTCGGTAGTGCCCAAGGGCGGAACTCAAACTCCTCTCTCAATACCCTTTGGATGATTATCAAAGTAGCATGAATCTCCACAAGAGATTAGGGATTCTCGCGGGATGAGGATGTCTATGAGCCCCTGAGGGGTGGTCGATGGAGCCATGTGCTCTGGGGCGCTTCTCTCATTGGCATCGCATGGTACTCACCCAACCCCAGACAATCTGTGGTCTGCACATACCGACACACTACGTTCTGATTTATGCATGAGAACAAGTAGTTTCCTAGTTTGGTTCGAACGGACGATCTGTCGTGCATCGATTGAGTGGCTTCGGAGCCAGTCTGGAAAGCTAGCATTCATTCGCACGAGCCTTGTTCACTGAAATCATCCACATTGTGATACTCACAGAGTAATCACTCGCTTAACTTGATTCCAGAAATTCGTCATGAACATGAACCTCCTCGAACTTTGAACAGAGTCGAAATGACATCTAATTAGCTGACTTCTCAAGTAATTGGCTTCTAGGTGTCATGTCCGCTGATGAGAACACTAAAGCCTTCGTCACAGGCAATGAATGCATGGGAGTTCAAGGTAAAGGCGATGTCATTGTCCCCACGCATTACCGACCCAATACCCCATGGGAACGGAAGCAAAAGGACTGATATGTCTCGCAACCTCCCGTGCCATTAAACTAACAGAGGATTGGCGCAGGCGTGTTGGCTCTGGCGAATTCCATTCTATGAGCACAAGAGGCTGATGTCCAGATGGTTTGCCCATGTGCTCTGGCCATTGGTCGACACGACTTGGCCCACAGGCGCTGGCATGGACAACCCGTGTTTTACCTCACCCACGCGGCCGCGCTAGGAGCTCGACAACGAGCTGGCGGGGTTGGCTCAATTGAGAAGCTCATGGTGGGGTTCTCCCTCTTTCAGGGTCCTAGGCCTCAACCACGATCTTCTCCTGAACACTGCGGTTATGGTATCAGCGTTTCGTTGCACGCTTTGAGAACAACTCACGTAGATGCTACCTCAATCTCCAGCATATTGTCTAACGCTATCTAATGTACATCGTACAAGATGTCCGGCCGAGCGACCATCGGAATATAACGCAGCTGTTTTGTGTAGAAGTCTATATAGCGCTGCTGTCCTTTTTCTAAGCGGAAGATGCTGCCTATTGCTCTCCTTCTTCAACGTATACGGTTTCTTCAACAATTCAATTTGCCAAGAGTCTCCAAACAGCTTCAACGCATCCTTCACTTAGCCCCGAGCAATGAGAGAATACCATGGCTTCTCTTGGTGGTAACATTTTGCCCCTCGACCTTGATCTCAAGACTACCTTTGCTGGACTAAGTGCAGTAGCCCTCAGCGGCTTGCTCTTTTCCAAGCTTCTTTCAAAGAATGATGCGGAAAGCCTGGAGGCACCCGGGCTCTTCAAGTCTTTCCTGCTCTTCTTTTACTCCTGCTTCATCAAGCCGCACAATGGCGACAAGAAGGGCAACCAGCAGGATGCCCTAGAGAGCTTCTACAACAAGCAAGCCGGCGCATATGATGCTACCAGGAAGGTCCTCCTGCAAGGCAGAGAGGACATGCTTGCGCTCGTTGCAGCACAGCTGAAGGCCAAAGGCCCCAAAAAGGGCAACAAGGCTAAGCGAGTATGGGTTGATGTAAGTCGTCTGAGCATCCACACCACGTCTTTCGACGCTCGACTGACAATGAATAGGTTGGTGGAGGAACAGGATGGAACATTGAGGCTATGTCTAGCTTTGTCAATGTGCCCGAATTCTTCACAAGCGTCTACCTCGTGGACTTCTCCCCGTCTCTATGCGAGGTCGCCCGACAGCGCTTCAAACGCCTTGGCTGGAACAATGTTAAGGTTGTTTGTGAGGACGCGAGGAAGTTCCGACTGGAAGATTATGAAAATGATCTCCCAAGTAATCGCGTCCCTCCTCGCTCACCTGTCCTAAGCTACTTCTCTCAGAAGCGTGCTGAGCACGGCGGTGCGGATCTCATCACCATGTCTTACAGCTTGTCTATGATCGTTAGTTATCCAAAGAAGTCTCCTTTGAAATCACTATAACTGACCATCTACCCAACAGCCCGACTACTACTCCGTTATCGAATCTCTTACATCGCTTCTGTCTCCAGATGGCGTCATGGGAGTAATTGACTTCTACGTCCAGTCCAAGACCGACTTCTCCTTCCGCAACTTCACTGGTGGACTGGTTGGGCGTCACGTCAACTGGTTCTTTAGGACCTTTTGGCGCGCTTGGTTCGACCTTGACCGCGTTGGCCTCGAGGCTAGCCGCCGCGACTATCTCGAGTACAAGTTTGGCAGTGTCCTGAACATCAACACTCGTAACTACAGTCTCGGCCACATTCCATACTACATCTGGGTTGGATGCCACAAGAAGCCCTTTTCTGCTACCAGTCTGCCGCATGAGATCATCGAGAAGATCGATGCCCTTGCTACAGAATCACCATACCTGTTGCCTGCGAACGCGGGCGATGCTCTCACCCGCGCCATTGATCGATCAGCCCCCGAGATTCGTTCCAAGGCTTTCATGGCAGCCATCCAAAACCTGTCCGCGAGCCTACCGCTGCCTTCTTTCTTCTACCAGAACCACCACTGGCGCATCTACTACGACGATCAGCTTCAGAAACACACTCAGTTCAACGACGAGTACATCTACGCGTTTACATGGGAAGACTCGAGAGTGGACGAGCACCTTCTGAAGCTCGGCTCTGACGACGTGGTCCTGGCAATCACCAGCGCCGGCGACAACATCCTCTCCTACGCAATGCAGAGCCCTGCCAGAATCCACGCTGTCGACTTGAACCCTACCCAGAACCATCTCCTCGAGCTCAAGGTTGCCTCTTATACTGCTCTTCCCTACGAGGACTTCTGGAAGCTGTTCGGTGAGGGAAAGCACCCGGACTTCCGCTCGCTGCTCCTGAACAAGCTCTCCCCCCACCTCTCCAGCCGCGCATTCCAGTACTGGCTCAACAATGTCCACGTCTTCACCAACACAAAGGGCTATGGTCTCTACGACACTGGCGGCTCCCGCCACGCCATCCGCGTCTTCCGCTGGATCTCACGCGTATTCGGCTGCCGCGCCGCCGTCAAGGAGCTTCTGTCTACCAAGACTCTCAACGAGCAGCGCGAGGTCTGGCGCACCAAGATCCGCCCCGCCCTGCTGTCCAAGCTCGTCTGCAAGCTCGTCGTCAGCCAGGAGAGCTTCCTCTGGGCGGCCCTCGGCGTCCCCAAGAACCAGCTAGCCATGATCGAAAACGACCACGCTGAGAGCGAGGCCGTCAAGGGACCCTCACCGACCGCCCGCAAGGTCCGCTCTCACGCCATCTGGCGCTACATGGTCGACACCCTGGACCCCGTGGCCGAGCAGACGCACATCGCCGCCAACAACCCGTATTACCACGTCTGCATGACGGGCGACTTCACGAGGCGGTGCCACCCAGACTACCTCTCGGAAAAGGCCCACGCCAAGCTCTCGCGCCCCAACGCTTTTGACGGCCTGCGCATCCACACGGACGAGATTGACGAGGTCATCAACCGCATCACCCCCGGCACGCTGACCGTCGCCGTCATCATGGACAGCATGGACTGGTTCGACCCCGGCGCCCCGGCAGCGGCGGCGCAGATCACCAAGCTCAACCGTGCCCTGAAGATGGGCGGCCGGGTGCTGCTTCGCTCATCGGCGCTGAGCCCTTGGTACGTCAAGGTCTTTGAGGCCCACGGCTTCTCGCCAAAGAGGGTCGGAGCTCGTACGGACGGAGCCTGCATTGATCGCGTCAACATGTATGCGTCGTGCTGGATCAACACCAAGGTTGAGAACCTTCCACCTCCGACCCCTGAGATGGATCATATGGGAGGTTCTGAAATCACAAGTTTCTCCCTTTGAGTGTAGGAGAATTGTGCTTCGGGAAGAAATGTGATCGAGACAAAAACGAGGATTGATGAGTAGGCTGGGTGGCGTAAGTACGGCCGTGTATTGTGCGGCTGCTGGATGGAAAGTATTGGTTCGAGACATGTGATCCGAATATGATTTAGCGTATGATTAATTTCTTGAAAATGATAATTATTGAAATACTTCAACGTTGACCAAGTGCATGTTTGATCCGAGTTTGGTGATTTCAACATTGAACTTGTTTCTCAGGGACTTTTCGCGACGATATATGAAAGTTCCACCTCGATACGATATTAGACTCCTAAAGATTTCGCTGAGACATGCAAAATCTGCACAAGAAACCTTGATCTCTAGCAGGTGGTCATTGCGATTACTTGTTCAGTCCATTTTCTCCGTTGATTGCTTCCACCCTTACCCACCGCATGGCAATGATTTGATCTGCCTGAGATCGAACGCCTCATCTGTCTCGGATAAACATTTAAGCTCTGTCGTCCTAAAGCCCACTCACATTTAGTTCACTTGCAGAATTGCCGCACCAGCTTCGTTGACAAAGAATACAATTTTGCCTAGACTGGTGATTATACACTGGCCGTCCCAATTCTAAACCCTGGCGCCCCCCAATCACATACAGTAAGCCGACTTCAGCGCCATTTCTCTGGTACTGGTATCCTAGCATGACGTCTCCGCCTCCCCTGTCGCATCCTCAATCGGATATTATTCCCAGATGACCAGCCTTTTATTTGCTGTCAAACAGGACAAAAAGACACCTCTCTCCCGTCTCCCCCCAAATTAAGCCTTCCACAGACGCGCGACAGCCTCGGTGACACCGACGTCACTGGTCTCGAACTCGTACAGGCCCAGGCCGACCAGTGCAGTGACGACGTTGAGACCCCACATGGTCGCCTTGCGCGACTTGGGGTAGTGCTTGGTGGGGACGTAGTCGATGATGATGTTCTGGAAGCCGGTGTGGGAGTGGATGAGGATCATGGCGCAGAGGACGGCGTCGGTCGTCGGGTTCAGGGAGCCGGCGGCGAAGGGGGCGATGGTGATGGGGACGAGGCCGGCAGCAAGGATACGGTCGAAGCTCCAGTGGTAGGAGCCGTGGGCGGGACTCGGGGGAGGGACGGGGGCAGGGTCGTTCACTAGAGGTTATCACGGGTTAGGATGTCTTGCGTTTTTTCGAAGTTTTGACTTTCACGTGGGGTTTCGTACCTCCACCCTGAATGACCTCTGCAGTGATAGGTTAGCCATGCTTCAATTGTAAATGTATAACATGCAAGGTGATTGCGACGTACGAGGACCGACAGGCAACAGATCCCTCTTGGCGGTTGTGTGGAAGGCGGCGACTCTTGACGAGTTCTTGACGAAGGCGGAACGGATCGGGGTGACCTGGGCCATACGGGCCGCCGTGGCGGTTTGCCGGAGAAGAGTAGGTCGCACAATCGATGCCATGGTGATCGCTGGTAGTTCACGGGCGGTTCAATTGGTATTCGCAGGTGGAGGGAGGCGGGATGTCGTTGTTTGGAGGCTTGGGAGTTGAGAAGGAGTGCTAGGCTCAGAGTGCCGGAATCGATGATGTCCACTTAGCCGAGGGTAGGCACAGGTTCCGGATCTCGAAGACGGGCGTCTGACATTGGAAGGGTTGTGATTGGCTGATGAGACCCCGATGGCTCCACGTGATTTCTGTCGACGAAGAAAGTCGGCATGAGCCGGCCATCGGGCCAACGTACATGCGCGACGAGTCTTATCGGCGATGCGATAAGGGAAATTTTTGGAGCTCGGAGTGGGATCAGTTGCGCGACAGCTCTGGCTGGCCTGTGTCAGTCATTCTAGTAGCTGGCAGGGTTGGTTTTCAACATCCTCAGACTCCCGTCCAGTGCTGAAGTTTCCCTTGCCGCTCTTTTTTCAATGCATTCATAAATATCGACATTGTAATCAACATCACACCTTATTCATCATGTCGTCGACATTGGTGGCTCGCCTCCCCGAATTACGGCGCAACATTTGCGTTCGATGCGCCGCACTTCCAGTAGCCCATTTCAGACAAAATCAAGCGAGATGGGTATCACAAAAGGTCGTGGAGAAGCGCAAGACAGGAGAGGAGGAGTGGGCAAGACGCGCTACGGCGATTGAGCAGGGGGAGATTCAAAATATTTGGGATGTGTTTGAGGAGCGAGGTTACGTCAAGGACGTCGCAGGGTGAGTCGAGATGCCCCCCCTTTTGCTGTCGCTGCTCGAGATCATGTTGCTGAACTGAACAAAATCAAGGCGCACACCACAGGTCAAAGAACTTTTGCGGACCAAACGAATAGGCGCATACGTCGGCGTCGATCCCACGGCGGCGTCTCTCCATGTTGGCCACTTGCTCCCATTTATGCCCCTTTTCTGGATGTACCTCAACGGTTACACCGCAGTGTCGCTTGTCGGAGGCGCGACGGGCAGGATAGGCGACCCGACGGACCGATTGAAGACGCGCGAGGTCATGGCGAACAGCGAGGTCTCGATGAACATTACAAAGATCCACTACCAGCTGAAGAAGATTTGGGCAAACGTGGAAGCTCTGGGGCGGAAGTACGGCCACGAGGCGGACTGGGCGGCCAAGAGGCATCTCGTGAACAACAACATGTGGTGGCAGAGTTTGCCATTGTACGATGTTATGAAGAGACTGGGCCGCTTCATGCGGATAGGGCCCATGCTCGGCCGCGATACGTGAGTTTTCACATGGGAGAAGTCCCCCCACCCCTTTTTCGACAGAGTTGCTGACCCCCTGTCTAGAGTCAAGAACAAGATGGAAAAGGGCGACGGCATGTCCCTCGCAGAATTCACCTACCCCTTGATGCAAGGATGGGACTTTTGGCACCTGTACTCTAAGCTCGGCGTCCAGATGCAAATTGGAGGCTCAGATCAGTTCGGAAACATCGTTACGGGCATCGAGGCCGTTAAGACGATCCGCGCGTCCGAGGAGAACCCCAATATGCGCATGCCCGAGACCTGGCGAGACGATCCTATTGGCTTTACGGTACCTCTTCTCACAGACAGCGCGGGCGCGAAGTTTGGTAAGAGCGCCGGCAACGCCGTCTGGCTCGACCCCTTTATGACGAGCGCCTTTGACCTCTACGGCTACTTCGCCAGGCGGTCCGACACCGAGGTTGAGAGGCTCCTCAAGCTCTTCACCTTCCTGCCCACCGCCAACATCGAGAAGCTCATGGTCGACCACGCAAAGAACCCGCCCGCGCGCGTCGCGCAGCACACCCTCGCCTTCGAGGTCCTCTCGCTCGTCCACGGCGCCGACGTCGCCATCAGGGAGCAGCAGCAACACCAGTTTATGTACAGCAAGGGATCCGGCACCCAATTCGCCGGCGCCTCACCCGAGACGGCGGGACAGGACAACACCGTGGCCCCCTACAAGGCCGTGGAAGGCCACCCGACGACCCTCAACAACGCGCCCAAGATGGACATGCAGCTCCCCGAAAACCTCATATACAACCAAGGCATCGCCCGCATCCTCTACGCCGCAGGTCTCGCCACTTCCGTCAGCGAGGGCCACCGCATCGCCCGCGCCCAGGGCGCCTACGTCGCCGCCGCGCCCGGCAAGGACATGCGCGGTCTCGTCCCGGGAAACCTCGACTGGACACCCGTCAAGCTCTGGTACCCGCAGGACGTGCCCAAGTTCCTCATTGACGGCCGTGTGCTCATCATTCGCAAGGGCAAGCACAACGTCCGCATCATCGAAGTCGTCAGCGACAAGGAGTGGCAGGACAGCGGCAAGGCGTACCCGGGCGAACCCTTCAAGGGCAAGACGCGCGTGCTGATGCAGCAGCTCAAGGAGCTCGCCGCGGCCGAGGGCCGTAAGCTGTCGCGTCGCGAGCTGGAGCAGATGGTCAAGGAGAAGCTGGCCGCCGAGGAGGAGGAGGTCACCGTTGCGAATAACCCGGACATCAAGTTCCCCAAGAAGAGCGAGCGGCAGCAAGCGTTCGAGGAGGGCAAGTCGCGTGAGTAAAGGGGAGGCTGTCACGGTCCTCGTCTCTGAAATGTTTTGATGTATCACACCCGATACCATGTGCAAATATCTGTACAATGACCTGTACACTACCAAAAACTTAGAACAATGTAAAACCACCATGCTCATGACAACATCTTCGCTTCCCAAAGAAACACTCTCAACGATAAAACACAGTCAAATCCCCGCTCGGCACCGGCAAAGCCTTGAGCTTCTCCATAATCTCCCCATCCGTAAGGTTCTTCTCCGTAATAATCTGATCAAACGAGTGACACCCGTCCGTATACACCTGCAGCGCGTCCCCTCCCCCGCCGCCAGCCCTAGGCCGCGCCTGGCCCGTCGCCAAGCCCGCGAGGTACTGCTTAGACACGACGTACTTGTGCACGCGGTACAAGCACCCCTTGATGACGCCAAACTGCACCAGCCGCCTGACGTCCACGTACCGCAGCACGTCGAACCCGGCCTCCTGGTGTGCGCGCAGCCACTCCATCACGCTCTTCCCGACACAGAAGCTCGTCATGAGCTTGATGAGCATGAAGTTGCTCACGCGCTGCCGGGCGTGGATGCACACGTACGCCGCGCACTCGTCCACGATCCCATCCCTGTCCGCGACGAAGTCGTGGATTCCTGGGCGGGGCGCGTAGCAGCTGCCGAAGAAGAACATGTCGAGCAGCAGGACGGTGTCGTAGTAGAGCAGGTGGCGCAGGGCGAGCGTGGCGAGGTCGAGCGAGACGTCAGCGAGCCAGGCGATGCGGCGGACGTCGTTTACGCCGTCAATGTGCGCGACGACTTTTTGCATCGTTAGGTCCCAGGTCTGGTCGACGATTTCAGCAAACTTCATCTTGGCGACGGGGACGTGCCAGCCGCGGACCTGGGGCGGGCTGGCGTGGTGCGGGAAGAGCTTCATATTGATGGTGTTTGCGTCGTCTTTTTGGGCCATCCGCGGTCAGTGTTGTTTTTGGTCTCAAGATATTGGCCATGTGCAGAACGGGGGAGGGAGAAAAAGGGATGTGACTTACCAACTGGAATCATGCACTCGCCATAGTTATTCAAATCCTCCTTGACAATCTCCAACAAACTCTCAATCGGCCTCCTCTCCCTCATTCCAGCCGCTCCTGCTCCCCCTCCCCCTCCACCGCTTCCCTCCTGGCTCAAGTACTCATTCTGCTTCTCCATCTCCTTGAACG